ATAAATAAATAAATAAATAAAAAGACTCTTCAATATGCTGCTCTCAAAGAAAGACAGATCATCAGGAAAGTAATAAAAACATGAAAGAGCTAAACAACAAAAACAACAAACTTGAGCTTCCAGACATCTACAGAACACTCTACACCAAAAAATATAGTGTACAAGCTCTTCTCCAGTGCACAAGGTACATTCTCAAGAATAGACCACACAATAAGCTAGAATCATGTCTTAACACATTCAAAAAACTGAGGTTCTACAATCTATTTTCTGAGATTACAGAAAATAGAAATCAACAATAGCAGGGCAAAAAAAACATAAAGACACACAGAGACAGAACAGTAACGACTTTTAAATGGCTGAATAATAAATCAAATAAGGGGTGGAATTTGAAAATCCCTTGAATCAAACAAGAACGATAAGACAACCACCTTTGGAATACAGCAAAAGCAGTTATCAGAGGTCAATTTATGGTAACCAATGCAAATATTAAAAAAATGAGAAAATATACAAACTTAATACTGTAATAGAACACCTTCAACAACTGGAACAAGAACAACAACATAAGCCCTCCAAGAGCATTATAACAAGGACCAGAGCAGAAATAAAACTATTAAACAAAAAGGGATACCCATCTTGTGTTCATGGGCAGGCAGACTTAAAATTATGAAAATGTCAATATTACATAAAGCAATTTGTAGATAAAATGCAATTCCAATCTAAACCCTAACTTCCTTCTTTAAAGAAATGACAAAGTTAATTCCCATCTTCATATGAAGAAGAAAGAGGCCCAGGACAAAGAACTTCTTAAAAAGAACCTGCACTGAATCTCCAGCTCTGGGAGAGGGACATGTCTGATCAAAGTACAAGGGAGCAAATGAAGGGGGAGGAAGAGAGAGTGAAGCACATCCTGGCCCACCAAACCTTGAGCACAATATTCCTGCTCAGAGCAGCCAATCCACAGAGAAGACCAAATGGCCAGCCCCATTGTGAGACATGACATCCCTCACTGACCCATAACCCTACAGGGGGCAATGCTGGAGACAGTGTGAGAATTCCGCCCCATCTGATCCCACCACACAGAGGCAAAACACTAAGGGCGTGCAACAGAGCAAGGGGAACAGAGCAACAGAATCCCCAGGGAATACCAAAAACAGACTTTGGGGCCAGGGCTTGGTGCCCCAACAGACTGGACTGGAAAACATTCCCAAAGGCCAACAAACAGTCCTTAAACTACTTACAAGCTTTGCTGTCTTGTTGTTGTGTTGTGTTTTGTTTTGTTTTGTCATTGGCTTGTTGTTGTTGTTTTGTTGTATATTGTTGCTTGGTTTTGCTCTGTCTTGTTTTTGTGCATGTTATTATCTCTGCAGGTCTGTCTAAATAAGATAGGCTGGATGAACAATCTGGAGGAGAAAACAATGGGACCGACAGTTCCGGAGTGACATGGGAGAGGGGGAGGAGGGGAGAAAGGTAGTGGTGTTAACAAACCCAGGGACAAGGGAACAAGTGATCCAAATCGGTGGTGAGGTGAGTGTAGGAGGCCTGGTAGGGCATGACCAAGGGTAATGTAACTGAGAGGAATTACTGAAACCCTAATGAAGGCTGAGCATGATAGTGGGACAAGAGGAAAGTCAAAGGAAATAGAGGAAAGAGCTAGGAGTCAAAGGGCATTTATAAAGGTCTAAATACAGGCATGTACATATGTAAATATATTTATATATGAGGATGTAGAAATAGATCTTTGTGCATATATGTATAGATTTAGTATTAAGGTAGCAGATAAACAAGTACTCCACTCAAGTACTCTCTCAATGCAAGAATGCTTTGTTCTATTAAACTGGCATTCCATGATGCTCACCTTCCCGACACAATCGCTGAAGACAAATGGGTACATAAGCAAATGTGGCAAAGAAAGCTGATGGTGCCCAGCTGTCAAAAGACATAGCATCTGGGTGTCTTAAAGGTACACAGGTGGCCATATAGCTCAGAAGCAACAAAGCCCACATGGAAGAAGCACACCAGCCTGTGCGATCACCAGGTGTGGAAAGGATCAGGTAGGTATCAGGCATCATTGGAACAAAAAAATCCTATCATTGGGAATGAGGGGGAGTGCAGAGTGGAGATCCAAAGCCCATCTGTAGGCAATTAGACATCCCCTTACAGAAGGGTCCTGGGAAGGAGATGAGCCAGTCACGGTGCAGTGTAGCAATGATGAAACATACAACTTTCCTCTAGTTCCTAAATGCTTCTTCCCCCCCACTATCATGATCCCAATTCTTCCTTACAAATCTGGCTAGACCACAGGATGTACACTGGTACAGATAGGAAATGGAAACACAGAGAATCCAAGGTGGATGATCCCTTCAAGACCAGTGGTTAGGGGGGCGATACTGGGAGGGTGGAGGGAGAATTGGGTAGAAAGGGGGAACAGATTACAAGGATCTACATATAACCTCCTCCCTGGGGGACAGACAGCAGAAAAGTGGGTGAAGGGAGAAGTCGGACAGTGCAAGATATGACAAAATAATTTAAAAAGTATCAAGGGTTCATGAGGGAGGGGGTAGTGGGGTGGGGGGGGGAATAAGGAACTGATGCCAGGGGCTTAAGTTGAGAGCAAATGTTTTGAGAATGATGAGGGTAATGAATGTACAAATGTGCTTTACACAATTAATGTATGGATGGATTGTGATAAGAGCTGTATGAGTCCCTAATAAAATGATTTTTTTTAAAAACGTGTGTTACTGAGAGGATTTATTTGCAGCAATGATTGCAAACCTCACATTTGAACACCTCATGAATGCATGAAATTCCTGTGGTAATCATTTCTTGTTTTACCCTATAAAGATAGCAAAATATTTTTACTTACCCATATGTATATAAGAGAGGAGTCCTGGTGGTACAGTGGTTACACATTGGGCTGTGATCTTCATAGTCGGCAATTCGAAACTACCAGCAGCTGGGGGGAAAAAGACTGAGCTTTCTACTCCCATAAACAATTACAGCCTTGGAAACCCACAGGGGGTCTCTATGAGTCAGCATTGACTTGATAGCAGTGAATTTTTTTTGGTTTTATATTTAAGAATGTCTCACAATTCAAATATAGGCAAAAGTGAGAAACATCACATTTTAGCAAAGTACCAAATGAGTAATAAGCACATTAAAATATTCTCAACATCAATAACTAAAAAAAACTATTCACTGCCATTGAGTCGATGGTGACTCATGGTGACCTTATAGGACAGGGTAGGCTGCCCCAAGAGTTTCTTAGACTGTAATTCTTCATAGGGGCACAGAGCCCATCTTTCTTCTGAGGAGCCGCTAGTGAAGTCGAATTGCTGACCTTGTCGTTAGCAGCCCAACATGGAACCATGACATCACCAGGGCTCCTGCCAACATAACGATTAATCATATAGACAGAATGATTAATCATATAGGTAGAACAAGTGAGTTTCAAAACTTTTATGAAATATGAAATTAAAAGATGAGGGAATTCTTTTTTTTTTTAATGAAGGAGTTTTTTTAAAACCTTCTAATCTCTTTTATAATAGTACAGATATCTTGGGAAACGAGCAATTTCTTACAAAAATTAACATTATATATATTGTGAGTATTAAAGATATTTTCTTCTAATCCATAATGGCTTCACTTTCGACTTGTGATGTCATTTGGTAAATAAGTGATTTTAATTTTAATTGCACATTTTTCAGGGGATAGTTAATACTTATATATGCAAAAAAATTTTGATATTTTATTTTTAAAATTAAGTCAACACAGAACTTAAGAAGCAAGGATTCATATGGGCATACTTACCAATGCCTTGCAGACCAAGAACAGAGCATTCCTGAGACACTGGGTGGGCCATATCAGAGTTTTCTGCAGTTTGTGAAGCAATACAGGCCAAAGAGTAGTCACTTTCTGACTGAGAGCTATAATTTAGTCTACTTTTTTCATTTACCTGCTGAAAAAAATTTTTAACTTTATTAATATTTAAAATTAATAGTAACATTTTTGAGAGGAAAACAGTGGGCGGGGGGGAAGGGGAAACAGAGAATTTTTGCTTCACAGAAAGACGTCAACTACTACATGTTAAAGGATTTTAAAAGACCACCATTCTAACCACCAATGTAACAACACTTTCAGGAAGGCTTCAGCAACGATACTGAAACTGTTGCTTAAAAACCTGGTGGAGAACAGGATGCCACAGTGTACTCACAAATTACTTACTAATAACAAAGATGGAAAGGTTCCTTTACCAGGGACATCTGGTAACCTCCTTACCCAAATGCTCTCAAACATGGTATCACCCAGAGTGTAGCAAAGAGCTACTGTGTCTCCTGATGTGATGCAATCACAAGTACACAGCACTGCCTGTGATTACTCTAAACTCATAAGGAAGTATGGTGTGAATACTCACGTATACATAAATCACAAGTCATTCTACAAACCAATAGGCTGCATATGATGGGATACCCAATAAAACCAGAATTTATTTTCAAGCTATGTATTTAAATTTTTTTACAAAACAATCTTATCACCCTCAAAGTATTCTCCATTATACTTAATACATTTGTCAAATCATGATTCCATTCTTGGAAACATTTTTCAAAATTATCTGTAGTCAAATTGCTGTCCTTTCATGTCCTCTTCATTCACAGAAACCAAAAGAAGTCGCATGAAGCGAGGTCGGGTGAGTAAGGTGCAGACAGAGCAAGAGAGGTATGCTGTTTTTTGCCAAAAACTGGTGCATTGAGATGGTTGTGTCAGCCAGTACATTGTCATGGTGGTAAAACCAGTCACCTGTCTGCCCAAATCAGCCCTTCTTTGTCACACACTGTTATGCTATCTCTTCAGAACCTCTAAATAGAAAGTTTGATTAACAGTCTGACCTGGTGGAAAGAACTCCAAATGCACCATGAGTCTTACATTTTTGTCCCTCCGGGAAGTTGACAAACATCCAGAATGAGGTTTGTCATTAATACATTTGTACACTTAAATTTTTCTCGTAGCGCTGTCCTTGTAAGCTGTGGTCAACCTCACAACAGTTTCTGCAGCATTTTTCTCAAGCAGGAAAAAAAATTTCATAGCTTCACACTGTTCTCTTAAATCGCCATCACAAAAAATGAGGCGTGAGCTAAATTGCTTTTACAAAAAACTTCACAGTGACCAGAGAGAACCTTTCCAGGTGACACCACTAGGTGCACTAACTCAGAGCAAGTTGCTCAATCAACGCTTGCCTAACTGGAAAAATGCATACTAGGAAAGTTCTGCCCAGTGGAGCTTTTTCCATTTGGGGGTGGGGGTGGGGTACCCCTTCATATGCTGAAGTGATAAGAGAATTGTGATTACATAGGTAAATGTCCTTATTTGCAATAAACAAATGAGATGTTTAGATAAAATATCTTAATAGCAAAAACTTTCAAATAATTAAGGGGGGAAAACAGACCTATAGGGCTACACAATATTAATGTGGATCAATGGTAGCAATAGGTTAATCATTCTAGATACTATAGTTCACTGAACTACTCTAATATTTTGTTGACAGGTGACACATTAAGAGAAAGTATTTCTAATTAACTCATGTCTGAAAAATGATTTTAAGAAGTCTTAATGTTAATTACATGACTTAATATTCAATTAATCACCAATTTAATAAGACAGTAATATTTTCTGAAGTCCAGTTTCTAGGGGGGGAAAAGGTAAAAATTATAACATACTTGACTAGAATCACTAGTAAGCAACTTAAAATCATTTTCAATATTTTCCCGTTCATCTATGTCTTCATATATCATTGCTGGGATTGCCAGTTGTTCAAAGTAAGCCTCTAAATGATCATCATAAAACTCTTCATCATCCATATCATCATCTATAAATAAAATGAATGAAAAAATAAGGTTTAATAATCAAAAAAGGTTAATGCTCAAACAGGTCAGTAGACTATGATCTTGACCCCCCCAAAAATAGTATTTCAGTCATTACTGGGCATTCTAATACTTATTATATATTTAATCATTTTGAGAAGATAGCACATAAACAGAAACAGCAAATGCCATTAAAAAAATAATAGACCTAGTAATGAATCCAGATGTCACAGGGTATAAGGTCAACACATAAAATCAGTTGGGTTTATATACATCAGCAATCTCAAAAGAACATTACCAAGGGTTCAAGTAGAAAGAAAATGTTTTGGAAATGATGATGGTGACATATGTACAAGTATGCTTGATACAACTGATGTATGGATTGTTATAAGAGCTGTAAGAGCCCCCAGTAAAATGATTTATTAAAATAAATAAAAAGAACATTAAGGAAATAATTCGGGGGGCGGGGTGGGGGAGAGGAGCTGATACCAAGGGCTCAAATAGTAAATGTTTAGAAAATTATGAGGGCAACATATGTACAAATATGCTTGAAACAATTGATATATGGTATGTTATAAGAGCTGTAAGAGTCCCCAGTAAAATTATTTTTTAATTCCGTTTATAATACCATCCTTATATTCTTTTAAACAGTGTCCTATACATTTTTTTTCTTTTCATAAACAGTATTTGAGATTCTATAACATTGGTTAATTTAATGATACTATCAATAATCATTTGCCCCATAAGGATATTTTATAATGTACTCTAATAAAAGGATAATGATGTCTCCAAAATGGGCCAAGGAGATTTAAAAAAACAACAACATAGCTACATAAACATACTTTGAGCTCACACTCAATTGTAATTCCTAATCTAAGAACAATTAGTTCTTATGAAGTAGCCCTACTTGATATTTGCCCTCATGAAGAGATCACAGATGATATAGGGACTATGGCAAAGTGTGATAAAGAAATCAGATAGCACCCAAATATCAGAAAGAGTAGTGTCTGGGGTCTTTTAGGCTAAGTCCATACCAGCCTGTGTGATCCAAGGATTATAAATAATAAAATCCAAGACTAGAGGAGGGAAAGTTATTAGAGCTTAAATTCTGAGTACCCAGTTTGCATTAGGCTAAGGATGACAGTGTATGGCCAAAATCCATTTGTAGAGTCCCCACTTAGACTAAGCTTCCAATGACTCACCTCTGATCATTGACCAAGGATGTGAATAGCCTTGCTATCAAACAAAGTGCATTGGAAAATGAACTAATACAGATGTAGTTAGGTTAAATTTTAGTAGTTTATCATTTGTTCTCCCATTTGACCCATTTTAAATTTGTTCTACTTTTTATTATTTATTATTATCTTTTCAACTGAGATTTTTCTGTTTTGTTATTGCTGTTAAGTTTGTCTCTCTCATGGGGAGGGAGGGGAAAAAAATGAGCTGACACCAAGGGCTCAAGTGGAAAGTGGGTGTTGTGAGAATGATGAAGTCAACATATGTACTAATGTGCTGGACACAAATGACGTATGTACGGATTGTGATGAGTTGTACGAGCCCCTAATAAAATGATTATTTAATAATAATAAAAAAAGTTTGTCTCTCTCATTTATCTTTTTGTTTTTGTATGCATTGGCTACACAAAATCCAAGATAGGTACATCTATAGAGACAGTAACTGGATTGATAGTTTCTTGAAGTTAGTCCAAGGGAGGTTGGAGGGAATGGGAAGCTAGTAATAATGTATACTAGTAAAACTATGAAAGATCTACATAAATTCAGGCTAATTCCTTGCCTATAATTCTACAATCTAATAAAAACTAAACACTCCTGTAAGGGCAAAACCTTTCTTGAAACAATGTGATACAATTTGGCTTTTCTATTTATCTCACTCACTCTCAGGACTTTGTCTATTTTTCTGAATTTATTTTCCAATTCTGTCTCCTGCATGTGCTATAACAAACACATGAAACTACTTGGCATTCCTCAAATATGGTCCGGGTACCTTTAACTCAGTGCTCTATGTTCTTCCTGCTTTCTGAAACATCCTTCTCTTCCCATTCCTAAGTCAGGCATAGAGTAAGCCCCATCCTTCTTAAGAAAGTTGAGCAGACATCTTTCTCAGTCAGAATTAATTTGTCGCACACTATAATATCCAAAGACATTTCTGTACTACTGGGGCATCTGAAGGTTAGTTATTTATCTCCTTTCCGAACTATTTCTACACTGTTCTCCAATTTCTTTCTCTGTTTTATAAATCATTTATTGGGGTCTCTTACATCTCTAATAACAATCAATTGTATCAAGCACATTTGTACATATGTTGCTATCATCATTTCCAAAACATTTTCTTTCTACTTGAGCCCTTTGTATCAGCTCGTTTTTCCCCCTCCCTCCTACTCTCCTGACCCCTTGACAAACTATTATTTTCATATCTTATACCATCCACTGTGTCCATCCATTCACCCACATTTCTGTTGTTCATCTCCCCAATAATATAGTGCTTTATATTGAGTATCACCAAGAGGTGACTCATTTATATTCTAATATTGTTAAATTGGGAGATGAATAGAATCATCTCAAGAATTATATATTCTTTTTTTTTTTTAAAGGGAGAATGGGTAGGAAGGAGGGAACCGATTACATGGAACTGTGTGTGACCTCCTCCCTGGGGGACAGACAACCGAAAAGTGGATGAAGGGAGAC